CCTAAACCCAGAGAAGTGCAGTAGCGAAAACATGGCAATGAAAAGGAAAGTTTTAAGCATTGAAGAGAAAGTTAAAGTGATTCGTGAAATATTGTGTGTATTGTCAGTGAAAAGCGCTGTAATATGTCTTTGATATTACACATTTGGGCAATTCCACGTTAATGTTACGTTAGTCTGTACTTAACTACATATTTCACTAAAAAATGCAACATTTTAACTCGGTTTTTGGTAGATTTTTGCGTGACTAACATAAGGCTACTGTGGAAGTGCCCATTTCGGTTACAACGACATTCGTTTATAACGACACTATTTTTAGGTCCCTTTGATGACGTTATAACCAAGTTCTACTGTACATTGTTAATGAGTGTGAATCATCTTCTGTTTCTTCCCCATTTACTATATTTCATTTGGAAGTAAGTCGTGTCCGTTATTTGTTGTTACTGTTGCTTCTGAGGGATTGTTGTTTTGAATGACTTTATTTGTGTTCCTTCGTTTGGTTCCTCTTACTTTTTGCCGCTATAGTGTTAGTAGTTTCAGTGATGTCCCCATCTTGTTTATCATCAGTGGTGGGGATTGTTCTATACAGTTGGTTGTGATTTGGTAATGGCATTGGGTCATCTATAGTCGGTTGGGAATTGCATGGGAGATTAAATGTGTTAGGTAAGAGATTTTGGTTTTGCATGTGTATTGGAATTTGTGTTGGTGGAATTACTTGACTGATGATTGTTGGTTGCCACTGGGTACGTACAGGTGGATACATTTGAAAGTTATTGCATCCTGGTCCATTGCTCGCTGGTAACATTTCTTGTCCATATTTAGGTTTCTTCTGATTGATTTGACTGCCACTATAATTGATTGTAATTGATTGTATTGCTGCTACGTTTTGTTTTCCACTGAGCACTGTAGCTATCTCTCTGTCTCACTCAGAACTTCAGATTGATAACCTCTTAGCTCACAACACGTCCGTTCACCCAAAGCACACGAACGAAACTTTCCATGTGAAGATGAGGTTGATATTAAAGAAGGTGAAATTTTATATTCTGCACCCTAACATTTTCATTATGTAGAGTTTTGTAGACTTTCATGTATGAACTTAGTATCATTCATGTAAAATTTATGTGAATTAATGAGATAAACATTTAATGTATTATTAGGCCACCCTTCAAGGTAGGTCAGTTTTGTCCTGACGGATGCGTACGTGTCTCTCAGGTGTTCTTTTTCTTCATTTTTTCCTTCTGTGATCTTGTTGTATCATATGTAGCATTCTTTAATCATCTCCTTTACCTCCCTGGCCCCTCTTGCATGCCGAACACCTACCGTGCCATCGCCTTGTTCATCATCTCATCCTCATACTGTCAAAATCTGTCTGTCTGCCACAACAGTTTTCATGTTCTTCCTCTTCTAGGATAATGCAGCTCTTAATGTTTAAAGTCCCCCATTGTTATAAACTCCTGTCACACCACAGGCGATCTTTCACATATCCATGGTGCTGTCCTTTGTTTTCACTGTCACTTCCAACTTGTTTGTTCGTATGGGGAGCTCAGAGGAAGAAGATTGAATTTATGTGCAAGTCAAGGGACAGAGCCCGGACCATAAATCATATGCACCCACATAGTGCTCCACCTGGGGCCCGGATTGCATAGATACTTCAGTGACTGTATGACTGATTCTTTAGCTCTGCTGTTCTGACATGTTACTGTTGACTGGGAACTGCAGTGTGTAGGACTGTGTGTGAATGTGTATGTATTTGTGTGTGCAGGACATAGAGTGGGGAGGCTATTAGGTTTGGATTTGTCAGTAATGTTGTAGAAGGGTAACTTCTCTGAGGTATTTCTTGAGATGGGTTGTGGAGAACTCCATGCTGGCACAGAGCAGAAGTTTTAGATGCCTGTCCTCTTATTCTCCCTGCAATGGCAGGCTTGTGCTTGCAGTTATGGAGGGTAGCCCTTTTCATCATAGCTATCATGTGCCTTTCAAAAACCCAGTCAAAACATATAAATTGGATGCAGGCCTCAAACAGTCTTCTGAAGTGGTTGATATTAAAATTACAGTGTCATGCTTCCTAATGTTTATATTGAAAGATCTGAAGAAATCCTTATGTGACAATACATTTCATACACAAAAAGCTCTTAATTCTATTGTCAGAAAGGTTAGACACACAACGCAATTGAAAAATGGGACCCTTTTGGTTGAAATGTTTAACAAACAATAAGCAGATGTCCTCCTTAAGCCCATACTCTTTGATTCTTATCTCATATATGTTGAGAGGTTATGTCTCTCACTTCGCTCCAGGGAGTTATAATAGGTGACTCCCTGGATGGCATTTCCAGTGAGGAGATTGAACTGTACCTTGACAACCAGTTTGTCTCTGAAGCATACAGATTAATCCGAAAGACATGAAGCAGGCCATTCCCTCTTCAAACCTTATTTCTAACCTTTGAAGTTCCAACCCTGTCCAGCTCAGTGCTTGTTAGGTATGCAAGGGCATCTGTTCACCAATACATTCCTAATGTTATGCCATGCTTCCAGTGCCAGACATTTGGACGCGCCCAGTACGGGTCTGCTTCAAGTCTAGTCTGTTGCACCTGTGGTGGTGAATCACCATGTTCTAACCTGCTGCACTGGGTGAAACGCTCCGAAACACATACATTTGGTGACAGAGAGTATGGTAATTTATTGACTGTTCTGGCTCCTGGAGAGTATAAATCTCCTTTTGAGTGCTCATTGTGGGTTCTGACAGATCTACTCTGTACCATCTTGTGAACTTGAAGAAGGCATATGATACAGCATAGTGATCCAGTATCCTAAGAACCCTCCACCGATGGAATCTTATATGTCAGCTACCACTGTTTCTTTTGAACTTCCTCCAGGACCATCGTATCGATACTCACCTCAGTAACGTTCTTTCTGCTCTTTATCAACAAAAAATGGCATGCCACAAAGACTAATTTTTTTAAGTGTGAGTGAGTTTTCTATCACAAACAATGGGAATGTCAGTATGGTTCATCTATCAGTATAACCATCACTGTATGCTGAGGACACTGCAGTCTGTTACAGTTCCTGCAGCATGGTTGCAGGAGGTCATTGTTTACAGATTGTCAATTGCCTGTAGCACTCGGCTCTGCAGAAAGAATTTTCCTTCTCTGCAGTAAAGACCCATTGTGTACCCTTCACAGGATTGCAGTGTTTACTTCCTCCTCCTGATCTGATCCACAAGAACAGTGCTTTGCCGTTTGCTCCAGCTGTCAAGTTTATAGACCTTGTTTAATCTAACCCACCTGAACAGGTATGAGTTGAATATCAGGGCCTCTCAGCCTGTAGTATATGCTTTCACTGCCTTCTAGAGTGTCTTTACATCCACTTACCACATATTATTCCCAGTAGACTTGATCTCTCCTTTGTCCACCTTATGATGTTTGACTTGTCAAACCCATGAGATGTGAAACATCTGCCTTTACATAATACCAGATCTTTGCCAAGCTTACGTCCACTTATCCAGACTGCTGACAGGTTGGCTGTTCAAATGTCAACTGGGTGTGCCTATAGTGACTGAAAATCAGGTTTTCTCGCACCATCTCCACCTCTCAACAGCATCTGTGCAGCCAAACTTTATGCTGTCTACTGACCTTTTCTGTTCATTTGGCAACAGCCTTGGTGATATTACATCGTATGCACAAACTCCCCGTATGCCTTGCAGCGTCTCCAAGGTAACATGCCAGGCCATCCTGTCATTTTAGAAATTCTGCAGCATGTGTTCCATCTCCACAGGGCATGAAAGCATGTCAGATTTTGTTGGGTACCTGGCCCCACAAGTCTGCCAGGAATGAGGCTGCTGAAGCTATCATTAAAGAGTCTTCTGTGCTCAGAAATTTAACATCAGACCAAGCCTTAAGTAGTTAGTTTGCAACTTTATTCTTTGTGCTGTTCTTTCATGATGGAAAAACGCATGGACACAGACAGTAGGCACATGTTATATAAGTACAGTGCTCCTCCAACAGCTCCATTAGGGTTGAGGAGGTTATCATCACAAATCGTAGGATTGGTCACATGCATCTTATACATAGGCATCTATTAAGAGATGATGTGGCATTATTCTCCCATCAACACTTAGTTCTCCTTAGTGGTGTCTTCCATTCAGGTTTTTGATCTGAATTTTGTGTGCATTTATCATCTTCCCCACCTCAACCCCCTATGCTATATTTAGTTAAATTAGCTAGATTTTTTCCAGAGAAACTATATATATGTTCTACAGGTATTCTCACAGCCAAACTTGAATACAATGCTGAGTGAAGTAGAACATTGCTTGGATGATGTGTCAGGAGCAGGCTTACCAAATGACTCTGTCAACTCCAGGAACAGTCCAGGAACCAGTCATCAAGGGCACAAGTGGAGTGCTCTTGTGCGTCAGCAAATTTTGGAACTGGAAGGTTCTGGCTATCAATATAAGGCATTATTTGGTTCTGAGACTATGTCACAGGTATTGTTAATTTTTTTATACATTATTTTTCAAAGTTTTCTGACAGGCCAAATATCCATTCAGTGATTCTGTTCAATAAAAGGACCTTAACCTGAAAGATATAAGGCATTATGTGCATCTGTTGTAAATAATTGAATATTTGGTAGTCATCTTATATGCCAGAGCAGGATAGTCGGTATAGTGACTGGCTATGGACTGGGCGACTGAGGGGTCAGAGTTCCAGTCCTGATATGGTCAAGAATTTTCTCTTCTCCACATCATCCACACTAGCTCTGGGGTCCACTCAGCCTCCTGTCCAATGGGTACTGGGGGATTTTCCCTGAGGGTAAAATGGCTGGGGCGTGAAGCTGACCACTCACCTCCAGCTAGTGCTGAAGTCAAGAAAATGTGGATCTATACATTCACTCCCCTCTGTGCCTTCATGGCATAGTGCTTAATTAGTTAAGCACAGGATGAATTCACTTTTATCTTATATGCCAGTATATACAGTATTTGCAGTGTGACCAATAAACTCAAATAATATACACATGATTGTAAGAGATATGAGGTTCTCATATGGTTTTGTGGGATGTTTCACCATGTAATCTGATAGACTTAAAGGAATCTGCTGCCACCATTTCATGGTAGAAGTTTCTCCTGCTCTCAAGACGGCAGCCAGCAGGTTCCTGTCTACCAGGCTACCCGGTGACCCATCCCAGAAGACCATAATCTTAAAACATTGAGTTAAACTGTTACATGGAATGTGTATAAACAGATCACCTTACACAAAGTTTATAAAAATAGACCAGAAAATATTTTTGGACATCCTCGTACTATTTGGATGGATGAAGTATAGAAAAAGTCAGCAACATTACAATTGCTTTGTAATAAAGAATATTGTTTCTGCATAGTATGGCGTTCTGAGTTGTAACACCATGTACGAGGGTTGTACTGAAAGTCATGAGCAACAGTTTTTTGTAAAGTACCATGCTTTATTATTGACAAACCAAATACACCACCTCAATCTATAGACCTTTCTTTATTTTTCCACATAATCGCCACTTCTTTGTACGCATTTCTCCGAGCGTTCTGGGAGTTTGAAAATTCCCCTTCTGTGAAATTCCGTTTCAGCCAATCCAAAGACACTGACGCACTGCTTTTTGAATTGCCTCCCTTGTCTCAAAACGTTGTCCACGCAGCTGATCCTTCACAAATCCGAAAAGATGGTAGTCGGAGGGTCCCAGATCAGGGCTATAGGAGGGCTGTGGAAGAACTTCCCATCCCATCTTTGAAATTGCTTCCAATGTGAGGCGAGCCGCGTGGGGGCGAGCGTTGTCATACAGGATGATGATGTTTCGTCCCGGACGTTTATCACGCAATGCACAACAGAGCTTGTGGAGCACCTGGACATAACGAGCAGCATTGATGGTTTGCCCAGGTTCCAGGAATTCGGCCAGAATAAACCCCTCTGCATCCCAGAAGACTGTTCCCATCGCCTTCGCAGCTGATGGCACTGTCTTTGCCTTCTTTTTTGATGGAGAATGCAAATGGTGCCATTCCATACTCTGCCGTTTCGTTTCAGGCTCAAAATGGAGAAACCAGCTTTCGTCGCCTGTCACAATACAGAGCAAAAAATCATCTCCTTCGTGTCGATATTTCTGCAGCAGTTCTGAGGTGATGGCTTTTCACTGACCTTTGTGGTCTTCGGTCAATAACCGTGGGACCCAACAAGCACAAACTTTCCTATAGCCCAAGCTTCCAATCATCTCCTTACTGCACTGTGCCCTATTCCAAGTTTTTGGGCTCTTGTGTCCACAGTCACATGCCTGTCATCTTCAATGATCTCATCCACTCTTTCCTTGTTGCGTTCAGTTGAGGCTGTTCAAGGACGACCACTCCGAGGCTCATCTTCGATGCTGGTGTTCCCATCTTCGAACACTGCTCGCACCCATGCACACACTTCCATAAGCATGTTGAAGTCTCTGGTGAATTTCTGCAGCATGGATTTCCTCTTTCACAAGAAATTCGATGACAGCACGCTGGCAAAACAACGTATCGTTATCGGCCATTTTGTTAGGAGTGATACTGGTCACGTGATGCAAGCTATTGACGTCACAAGACACTCAAGGTTAACACAGCAGCTGGTTCCACCTACCACCATACTCTCTTTCATCTGCTGTTCCCAGGTTGCATGCAAAAAAAAGTTGCTCATGACTTTCGGTACGACCTACATAGTTTCGAGAGAGCCAGACGTTTTGGAGCAACATACCACCTCCATCCTCAGGGATGAATAGTAAGCCAGACAAGAATTTGATGTCTGCTTCAGCTGGTTTCTAGCTTGACTTACTCCTCAACACTAAAGATGGAGGTGATATATTCCTCTGAAACATTGGGCTTTCCCTGAACTGTGTGCCATTACAATGCAGAACCCTAAATCCAGCAATGTTTTCACACGTATTTTCTTTTATAAATCAAATATATTCAGTTTATTTGCACAGAAATTTATGAACAGAATAATTTAATTGAGTTATTTCATAACTGTAGCAATATGTGTTTCTTTTTTAACATTACATAGGTTTTCCAGTTCATGTTGCTAATTCAGAGGGCAAATGAAACTGCCCATAACTTGCAGCTCCACCTGGAAAAAGAGTCAAGGAAGCGCTCATCAAGTTTCTTCGCTTCCTTAAAGGACTTGTTTTTCTTCAACCCAGCTGACTCAGATGAATACTCCTTGGAAGATAGACAAAAGGTGTCAGCATATCTGGAAATGTGTTTATGTCAACTTTCCCACATTTTTGAGGTTAGAAAATAGTCCATAAGAACAGAATATTTTGTTTGAGATTTATTCTTGATTGTCCATTGTTACTCGGCATTCAGCTTTGCTTATGGAGGTGAATAATAGATTGCAAAGGCCTGAAAGTTTTATTTTTTTAAATTTTGTCTGGGTGGTGGGAAATTCTTTGCTTCTCAAAAATAACAGAATACAGCTGTTCAGAACAGTTGTATACTTGTGCAGCTTTTCTGTGGCACTGGATTAGAGTCCACTGTCAAAAATGAAGGTTAGAAATACTCCTGTGTTGTGAAATAATATTGCAGCAGAGAAACGTGTTGGTTACGTTTTCAGGTTTGATCACAAAAGTCTTGTATAGTTTACATTCATTCATCAGTAATCTGTCAGACGACAGGTCCAGAGTAAAATATATATGCAGCATGGCAATATATATATTTTTTCTGTGCAAAAATATTTTGATATTTCATTTTCTGTAGATCATACATAGAGAATTAATATTTGGACTATACACAACATTCTGGCTCCTCTTGATGTCCGTTCAGCAGTTAACCTACCAAAATAAATATTGTGACACATAAATCCATTGCTAGGTAACGGCTTGCTGAAACATGTCTCCGAGGTTATGACAGAGATGTCGATTCCTAGATAACACGTACAGAAACTTTTCCATTACAATGGCTAGGTAAAGATTGTTCACACAGCAACAAAAGGCACGTTTCAGTGACAGCTGCAAAAATAAAGAAGTATACCGTTGCGCGGAGTGTTTCATATCTGGTCGGCATAAAGCCAGCATAGGTCAAGAGAATTAACCAGACAAACAGTACGGAAGAGAAGAGATGTATATATGGTAGAGCCCTACCAAGTATTAGAAGCCCACTCTTAGAACAAGACAGAAGAGAAGAGATCAGATACAGACCCGCTCATTGAATTTGTACGAGGAGCATCTAATAGTGGAAGTGTTGAAGACTGTGTTATTGTTCTAGTAACATTCTGAGGTCTTTTATATTTGTAGATCTGCCTGGTGATTGTCCAGTAAATTAATTCATCAATCCAGAGAATCCATTAATTACTTGTCACATTATCAGGATACGTGACAATATAAATGAACAGTTTTTACAAAAAAAAGACAGCCTTAGGATTGAATTTCTAATAGGATACACAAGGTTTGAAAGTAGGGATACAGACTGAATAAAGTAATTCCTCCCATTTGGGCCACAAAACTTAACTTTTATCATACTGTATCATACGATCACAACATAGATTTATCATCATCATCATCATCATCAGTAATCTGTCAAGACGACAGGTCCACAGTCTCTTTCAAAACAATTCCTCCACTTAATGCGATCTAGAGCTTTCTCCTTCAAATGACAGTATCCTCTTCTGTCCCCAAGGTCATCCAGCATCTTCTTACGTCTTCTTCCTCGTCTTCTTGTCACTTCTATCCGCCCATCTATCTTTCCTTCGATAGCTTCTTTTAGAAGGCAGTTTCTGCGTAAAACATGACCAATCCAATTAGCCTTCCGTTTTCTTATTTCATGTAGGATATTCCTCTGCTCACTGACTCTAATTAACACTTCTTCATTTCTCACATAATCGGTCCAACTGATCTTCTCCATTCTTCTCCAACACCACATTTCGAAACTTTCCAGATGTTTCTGATCTACTGCCCTAAGTGTCCATGTTTCAGCCCCATACAGAGCTATGCTCCAAATGTAGCATTTCACTAGTTTCTTCCTCAAATTTAAGTCCAATTTGCTGGTAAAAAGATTCTTCTTCTTGCTAAATGCAGCTTTTGCCATGGCAATCCTGGATTTAATTTCACAAGTACACCTTCCATCATCTGTTAACAAGCTAGATTTATATCTGCAATAAATGAACATCATGAGCAGTGAGATAGTAAAAATTGTAGGTAATGTATATGTATTCCATTTGAAGTACACATTTCTATTCTTGTTATTTATTCTTTTAACCAATTTCTTTGTAGATTGACCTTGCAAGACTACCTGGCATCAGCTACACAAATGATTATGATGCATACAATTCTTGTGGTACAGTATCATCAAGAATGGGAACATCAAGCTTATTGCAGGTATTCTTTTCTAAATATGTTGCAGTTGTATGTAAAACTGATATGTTTATGGATGAAGTTTTGTTTGCATAGTTTAAATTATTGGTGTCAACAATAAAATTGTCTTTCATTCAGACAAGACTGGCCTGAAAATAACAGACATAATTAGTCATTTGGGAAACAAGTTGATGTTTCATAGGTAAAGTGGATCACAAAATTGTCTTCCAAAAAATTTTCTAAATTCGCTTAGTAGGGGGTGGAGACCAACTGGGTCCACTCGGCACGGCGGCCACTGATTGGCCTATTGTAGCCTGCCCCGGGTTATTATGATGATGGTGAATTTGGTGGAATGAAGATTGGCAGGGGAAACTGAAGTACTCAGAGAAAACCTGCCCCAGCGCCACTTTGTCCACCACAAATCCCACTTGACCAAACCCAGGCCGCCATGGTGGGAAGCCAGCGACTAACCGCTTGAACTGTGGCGCAGCCAAATTTTCTTCTAACCGTGGGTTCTTCACTTTTTTATTTTCTTGTTGGGAAGTACTGCATACTGCCAGTTGGCCATCCTAACGAAGGAGGAAAGGTGCATGAATAATTGGAAAACAGATGACTCAGATGCATCTAGATGTTCATATAAAATGGTCATTAATATCGTCCATTTTAAGTGAAGATAGAAAAGGTTCAACATTATATTTGTAATTCACCAGTATTAAATTCCATGATTATCTGTCCAGTGGTTCTATGGTTGAATTTACTGGTGATGTGACTGGCAAGACAAAATGTAGCATCCAAAATAAATGAAGACTCAACCCCAAACAGAGTTTTCATGTTGTATTTTTAGCTATTACTGCTTTATTGGTGGAGACCAGTCGATATTACAAACAGTACTCAGACTTCCTTGATAGTGGACAGTCTTCAGTACTTGGTGGCGCTGAATATGAAATATTTCTGTTTCTGTCAGTTTTTATTCAAATGGGACATACATATGTGTGAGCCTGGAAGACCATTAGTCACTTAGTGAACAGTTAATTTCACCATTGTGTGGCAAAACAGTGAGGCATAACAGACACCTTAGATTCTTCTACTTTCAAACAGGGGCAGTGTTGTAAGATTTGAGGTTTTCACGGCAGTGACTATGAAGAAAGCAGTCTTCTGGGATGTGACACCGTGTAGATGTGTTAACCGACGTTTAGGAGGAACATATCGCCGCCATCTTCAGGGTAGAAGGAAACATAAGAAAATCCACAAGCAGTCTGCTTGTACTGGTTCTCACAGTCTCTTTGCTTGTGGATTTTCTTATTTTTTCTTCTACCCTGAAGATGGAGGCGATATGTTCCTCCGAAACGTCGGTTAACACCACATCTACACGGTGCCACATCCCAGAAGGCTGCTTTCTTTAGGGACAATGTTGACAGTAATAACTGAAACTGTGGCTCTGTGTAGAAACTAACACATGTTTCCAACTTGCTGAACAATGCATATTTAAAATATTACACACACTAAACATCTGGCTGTTGATGAAATTTTGTAGTATTTTTCAAAAGGAGGCTATCTTTTGCACAGTGTCTCCCCAAGAAACACAAATGTTGTGTAATAAAAGTGTGTCAGTTATGTGACACGTCTGGCTATACATATGATACAGACATCAAATTAGGGAGGGGCAGGATACCTGCAACTACAGCTGAGACCAGGTCACACAACTGTAAAACGCTTGACAGAATAAGTAGAAGGACATGGACATAAGCTATTTCACACACACAGATGCACACACTTGATTTTTCATCTGACTTATTTGATCTGACAAAAGAAGAAAACCAGGACAAGGAATGCCACAGGACCTGCTGCTATCAAACACACACAATTGAAAGATATTTGGTTAAGGACAATGGATGACTTGACTATGACGGCCTGGAGGGACAAATGGTAACTGCTATAATGAACATGAAAGGGATACCAAACCAACAGGTACAGGTATTCCTCAATATCCCGAATGGTACTTTACAAGATTTCACTGTAATATGAAAATTAAAACAGACAAGAACAGAATGAACCTCAATCGCCTCCTTCCTTGCATTCTTCCTATACAGCTGAGACATTTTCACCATCTCCACAGTTCAGTCTTAAGATGGTTGCAGTGTGTTCCTGTGAAATGTCAGTGCCCCCCCTGTAAGATGATATGTTTCCAAAACTGAGAAGATCACAGTCTGAAGGGAGAAAGCTTTTATTTTGCTGTTTCCTGCTTCATGCTGGAGAGTAATGTGAAACTATTTCTGCAGTGCTAGGTCAGCCAGCAATTGTAAGACTAGGGTATGGGTAAGCAGAGTTTTAATGGCTCATGCTGTATCAGTTTGCTGTTGGGTATCTTTTAATAGAAATTGGTTGCTCTTCAGTTGTGTGATTCTGCTGTATTCAGAGTGAGTGTGTATGGAAGAGTTGTGTAGTGCAATATTCTGACCGAATTTAGAATAACAACAAAACTAATCAAGCAATTAAAATTAATTTTTAGTGAAACACACATTAAAGTTCTTCAACCTTGATGGATTAAGCTGTCTGGCCTGTTCCCATTCAGAATTAATTTTGAAATTACAAACCTTATAGATGGTTGATAGAACTCCTTGAACAGGGGATCAACCCATCACAAGTCTGCTACCTACACAGAATAAATGCTGACGGACATCTATGCTTCAAGTTGGATTCAAACCCACAATCTCAGTGTTAAGCAGGCGAAGATATTTATATCAAAGTTTGTATAAGAAATAATTACCTGATGGTTTAAAACAACTGGATATTTTTATTTTGTACTGTTTATTAAGAATGTCTGTTAAGAAGATATGAATAAATTAATATATTTGAAAGTGTAGCCTATAATTGGACAATTATTTGTGTTATGTATATGTTTATTAATGCATATTTTTGTCTTAGGGAGAGAATACTACTATGGAAATAATTCCATCCCAAAGCCAGGTCCACACTTCAATTTCACCATTGCTGGCATCACGAGATTGGAAGGAGCGAAGAAAACATATCAAGTATGAAGGTGACCCTGACCTGCAGCCGATTAAGAGTACTGAAAATGCATTTCTTGTCAGACTGTTGCATCAGGTAGCATCAAAACTGAATGAAATGGTAAGTGTATATTAATATTGTTTTCATATTCCTTTTTAAGTAAAGACTTTTATTAGTTTGAGTAAATGCAGAGAGATTCTTAAGTGTTTTTGAAACATTTCAAATATCCTCTTGAACAGACTAACATAAATGGATGACTAACTTTTCAGAGTGCAGAATTTGTTGCGAACTTAGAAAATTATGTGATCTGGTCAGAGTAAATAACATCTGAAGATGGTAAGAATTACTGGTGTAGTAGGATGCTGTAAAGTTTCTTGCATGTAATATTTATAAAACACACAGGCGAATCAGTTTCATCTTGAGGGCCACATTTGGATACAGTTTGTTCTCCCATCTTGCGGTATGCACATAGGTGATATTAAAATAATGTTGATATAATATATATATATATATTTAAAAATCATTTTTCTTTGTATATTGTATGTATAAATATGTAGACCAATCTGGTCAGTTAGAGGTTATTTCTATCCTAACTTTATGCATCGTAAGTTACCGTGATCAGTAGTAAGAACATGATGCATAAACTTGTGGGAAGTGACATTAATACCACTTAATATAAAATTATATGTAGTAATAGATATGCAGAAAAATATGCAACTCTGGTTTAGATAATTTTTTCTGGAATATAGTCACATGGTAGTAACTAGGTACAGAATTCAGATTGGTAATAGGATTTATTGGTGTGGAATCATTTTATTTCAAGACAGTTACACATTATAGAAATATACAAATGTAAAAGTATAAATTTACTTTTCCTCAATGTAACATTAAGAGCACATGATTTATGGGACTGAAAGTCTGTTTAATAGGAAAAAGCTTTGTGATTGATGTGTGGAGTTCCTTGTTAGGTTGTAATAAAAGTACTGTACATGAGGTGGGTTTAACATGTTTGAAAATCATGTGATTGTTGTTTCAGTACACCCTAGAAATGTGCTACTTCTATGAACAGAATGGATTGTTGGGATGCATTGCACGTCAGGTTCTCTGTCCACCTACAGTAACACGCACCTATGACAAAAGCCACCCTGGCGAATACAAATCACGTACAGAAAAGGTGCTACCACCACGTCTGAGCCTGCGTAGTTTTGCTAGCCACCGAACCATTGTATACATGTTGGTAGGCATGGGACTGTCTTGGTTGTCGGGTTATGGACTAACAGCATTCTTCTTTGTCTTGCTTATTTTTTGGATGTTTTTTGTGTTGTTCAAAGCAGTCCTTGAGCCTTGGTTGGGCTCAACCCACCACAGTGCTACTACCGAAGCACTACCATCACCATCACCCACCAGTCAGAGCAACATGCCATTCTCTAATATGTGATAATTGTCACTTCTTTTCAGTGTTGGATGCCAAAAAAAAATATATATAGATTTTACAAAGTGATATTACAAAACAGAGTTGTAACAGGATTTTAAAGTCTTCATGTGTTTGAGGCATATTTCTCACAATACTTCTAAGTAAGCACATTCAAAAGTGTCTTCCATGGAATACCAACAGATGGAACAGTCTGTTCATACAGTTAATAAGCCACATGTATAGTAAAGTACCAGTATTGAAGTGTAAATAAAAAACTAAATATTTCAATCAGAAATTATGTGTAACACACTGTAAAATATTTATATTTTTGAATTCATGGGACCATTTTAAATTCAGTTTATCACTATATCAAGTAGCAGTATTCATGTTTCAAGGTTTCCAGAACCATTCTAGCTTAAAAGTTGTTGAAACCATCCTCCATTGATCCTCCAATGAATATCTTCCTCAGGGTAATGTTCTGCTATAGTAAATTATTTTGCCCTGTCCAGTCTCTGTGAAAACCATTGATGTTTATATTGTGGTCTGCTGTTTCAATTAGAAAGTATTTATAATGCTGTTTTTATCCAAGCAATGGTAATTTAAGTTCTGCAGTCTGTATCCGGTTTCTGGTTTCAGTGTCATGTCACTCTGAACATTTTTATGATAAATTACTGTGGATGCTGCTATCAATTTTTCAGTGGTCTTCAAATAATTCCATACATAGGGATCAGTTCTGAAATTTTGTTAAATTAATACATTCAAAATAAACAGAAAATCCTAATATCCATATAGATAAATAACAGATTTAGAGAAAGGGATGGAAACTCCTTAAAGCTAACTAAATATGTGATCTTGTGTCTGAAGTTGTAAACCTAATATGAAAACATGTAAGACAATGATACAGTTTTGTTGCCAAGAAGCAGTCATGTTTTAAATCGTTTCTGACTATTTGCTGGATCCATCTCTTGTTACTTTCATTGAAAAACTTGGAAAGGTCATATAATTTAGATCCAGTTGTATCCTGTGTATTGCTGTTACACTAAAATTAAAATGTTATGTTGATTGATTTCCTTTATAGGGAAACCATGTAGGTAGATACTGCTACCTTGAAGGAGTCAGAGGACACATGAATGCATTGGTAGAATATATAAGGATTTTACTTTTAGGAATCTTTTTATAAAATCGTTATATTCTTCAGGCACTAAAGGTCAATAACTGAAGCTAATCCAAAAAGGTAAAACAAAATAAATTTGGACATTATAAAATTAAAAAAAGAAAACCAGTACCAGTACAACTCAATTTTCAGAAGTCAGACCGAGAACTGTATAAATCTGTCATATAATCTGATAACCATCAGCTAGAATTACATTCTCACAATCACAGTAATAATAATGTGGATGTATATTTCAATGTTCATTTTTTCATGTTGTTGAGGAATACCAAGAAAGGACACTGTGATCACAGTGAACTAAAGTATGAGCATTGAATTGTATGGATGGCATTTGGTTACAGTGATTCAAAAAAATCATTTTCTAAATAGTGTAAATGTAGTTATCAAATCTTTTGCAATACTGTAGAAATAATGTAATTTGATAACTTATGTTTTGAAATGTCACCCATAATCTTACTTCTGCGACATCATTGGGTCACGTGACTGCATAATACTCCAACACATACTACGCTTATCACAGAAATTTTGTGAATGGAGGGAGTGAGTTTCTCCACAACAAAGTGTCTTCACAAGCGAATTTATTACAATACTAGCTGTGCCCGGCCACACCTTGCTGTGGCTCAGTCTGCCCATTCTTCCCCAGTTTGATTTGAAATTACTCGAGGCATTGCTTCGGCTCCGTAAGTATGATGACCTAAGTTTGATCTTCTGTGAGGCATTATTTGGATGAACTAAAGCAGATCGATTGCACTGATGAAGCACTGAAGAAAACGAAATGAAAAACAATGAAAAATAAACTATACTCCAGACTCGAGTCACTCGTGATACTGAACAGTTGCCAGAGCTACACCCTCTTATACGTATAGCCAGCGGTCGGATGGGATAGGGAATACCTTATCAAAGAGTTAGTTTCATCTATTGCTTGGGAAATGCTAGCACAGAACACCTTGTAGAAGTGTTTGGTTTCATCCGTCGTTACGCAACAGAACCTCGATTCCTATGCAATGGCCCACTATTATTGCGTTTCCTTGGAAGTATACTTAACGGTTTCATCCGTTGTTACGCAACGGAACCTATGCAATGATCTGTTCTAGCGTTACTATGGAAACGACTCCTGGATTCTGAACATTTGAAATGTTTTTGCCTGTCACAGGCGTGGCATCTACATAATAGGTATATAAAAACGCGCGTGTTCGAATGCAACGTTCTTTCAAAATTTCGAAGCAATCGGTGAAGAACTTTCGGAGATCTTCGACCACAGACAAACCAACAGTTACGTTTTTATTTATATACATTACAAATGAAGGATTGTGCGAAACAGCAGTGAATATGCCGGCCGACCGAGGCACCGATACAGAACAGTCCCTCATCAGGCTTGCCAATAGTTACACCCGAAGAATTCTCGATACGTTCGAACTGATATCCCTCTGGTTAACATGCTTTCGTGTGTTTCTATTTTGAAGGAAATAAAATTAATCTTTATCAGTCCAGTCTGAAAATTCGGTTTACAATATTTGACGAACAAGGAGCTTGCATGGCGTCATAAAAACTTACACAGCTACGTAAATAGAACACTCGTCAGATTTTAATAAAAGTTTCAGAAAATAATCGGCAGTTACTTCGTTTCTGTGGCTCACGCGACCAAAGATACCAATGGAAATCACAAAATCAGAGCAAGGACCTGTTGTATGAAACTAAACGGCATTTTGGGCATACCATGTGAAAAGTAGTAACTAACCTTTACGTGATGTTCAATTATTTTGCGCATATGTAGTGTTGGTTGGGAATTCGTGTGCGTTCATGTACCTCATGTATTGCAATGTGGGAGATGTGTGCTTTGGTATTGGGTGAGAAAGTGTGTGTAGTATATTTTAATTAGGAAGTATGTTTTGCATATTGTAAAGTACAGTTCCTTACTTTATATATATATATATGCAATTACAGACTAGGTTATTATTTTCATAGACGGATCAGGAACTATGGCTTCGTTTTTACAGTTTGCAATGAAACATTACTTAGCGAAGGCATTGCTCGTTAAAAACTCTCACATGGATAAGATAGTATTTTCGAAGCAGCATGTTCGGCATGTTCCCAGATGGGCCCATAGAAGACCCATTCGTGTTATTTATGCGGAAGATTCAGAGAAAGACAAAGCTAAATATGCTGAGAAACTAAAGATTGAAAGAGAGTGTATTCAGTCTGTAACGAACAATCAGGAAAAACGTTTTGAAAATGCAGATTTGGTGGATAAGGATAATGAAACAATAATTAGTAGTACTATGCCAGTGAACACGTCCAGGTCTGGTACAGATGTAAATTATGATGAGAGATATACAGTGTCCAATTCAAAGTTTCGCAATGTTGAGGATTATGAAAGTGATATAGCAGAGGTAAATAAGGCAGAAACCACACAGAAAAGCAGCACACAATCGAAGAAGGCGAGAAAGTTGGAGGCCAAGAAGGAACGGAAAGCCAACAGAATAAGAGAGTCTGCTGCCAAAGCAGGAGTGCCCGTGTATACAAAGTTACCAGATAATGATCCCAAGTTAAGGTAAGGAAACATAACCATATCTGGAGTATGCTTTAAAACAGGTGATCCAGTGTAAAATAATGTTACACATTTTAAATGTCAGTAAATTATATTGCTTTACAAAATAATTGGTATCAGAGATGTCTGCCTAGAGTATAATGCATGTTGAGCATTGACATAGAGAGACAACCTCCAGTTGCTCCAAGCATTCAGACCATAACTAGGTCCAGTGTGTGATTACAGTATTTCTGAGGCTGTTTAAAAGCCTCAACCCAGTCATAGCCAAACCTTTGAGACTGTGTCTTTCTTAATACCCATCGTCTCTTCCCAATCAAATTTGGACATTTACAGTCCCTTAGACTGCTGGCAACAGGGCATCTCATTCACCTTCTCTTCACCACTAACAAGGACCACCACTAATGCCATCTGGACCTGCAGCTGCACTGCAACCTAGATTTCCATTCTGTTTAGAAGAGGCTTCCTCTTCCTGGCCTGCTTCTTAATTTGGTTATACAGTTTCATTTTGTTGATGAATAGGCTACCAAACCACATCAAGAAATCTCTTTCAGTCTTGCCCTTATGAGAGCCCCTGCCAACTTACAACTGCTTCTCAGTAGCAGAGGGACCATAAACAGAACCTGCAATTGTGACAGAAAAATCTTCTCTTGGATTACAGATGGTGAGGTGTCTTGAGCCACCAGTTGTCATTCACTGACAGGGACAGCTTAACCCCCAGTGGTCCCAGTTGGACCTGCAGCTGAGTTTCACTCAAGGGCTCAGTTTTTTAGATAATTCCTATGTCTTGCCTGCTTCATTGGTAGTCTGTAAAGTCCTTCTCAGTTTCTGTATTTCAGCATCGCGTTGCAATTGTTCACATTAGCGTCCATTTGTTTATATCCGTCTAAATTGCAACACTTGTTTTACACTTCAATATATTCTTGAACGCTTAACACTACATGTTTCGGCCTCAAAGGGCCATCTTCAGGTGTTTTATTACATATTATCAATCAAGACCTTGTTAAAACTGCTACACTGTTTCGCTGTTCCAATTCATTTTAAACACCACAAGCTGCAGTCCTCCTAAATTTCGGCTGCCGGTGAAAACATTTTAGTATATTTTATGGAAGTGATGACACCCTGAGTGAAGTGAAACAACAAATTATAAAAGAATTTTATCCATAAAATATATTAAAATGTTTTCACCGTCAGCTGGGGAAAACATTTTAATATATTTTATGGAAGTGACAACACCCTGAGTGAAGTGAAACAACAAATTATAAAGGAATTTTATCTTGTTTTAATTAAAGGAGGGCTGCAGCTTGTGGTGTTTAAAGTGAATTGGAACAGCGAAACAGCGTAGCAGTTTTAACAAGGTCTTGATTCAATATCTGTAATAAAACACCTGAAGATGGCCCTTTGAGACCGAAACATATAGTGTTAAGTGTTAAAGAATATGTTTAAGTGTAAAATTAGTGTCACAATTTAGAGGGATATAGAGAAATGGACGCTAATATACTTCTTAGTATTCAGATTAATCACTCATACCAAGTGACCTTGTATAATCTAACCTCTGGTAGAGCCCTTGTCAGAGCCCCTGTGAGGTTCTGATTGTCTCTCTAGGACTACAGATGAGCAGAAGACACAGCATGTGAGCCCTAGAAAGCAGGGAGAGAGGTCCCTCCTGGAGCACCAACAGCCAGGACCCTCCAACTGCCCTCTGTTGTATATACCAAGGACAGCATAGCACCCACCAGGTCCCATCAGACCTATAGTTGAGCATCAGCTGAGCCCCAGATCATTTCACTTTTTGTAGAAATGTGATAAGCTTTGCTAACCCTGTCCTGCAATCATACATATTACGCACCTGTGTCTGAATTTTCTGTCTTCATATTTTCAGCACTGTTATGTTAATTGCAAAGTCAAGAAAACAGAGGAAGAAAAGAAGTCTCATTGCTCTTGAAGGGAAACGATTAATTAAGGATGCTATGGAAGCAGGTTATGTTCCTCACATGGTGTTCTTCAGCAGGGTAAAAGATGCTGCAGACCTTAATCTTCCCGATGCCGGTGTTGAATTGTATAAAATTTCATACAAATCAATTTCATTGTGGTCAGACTTGACCACTTCACCTGGAATTTTGGGTGAGCAAACATGAAATACATTAGGTTCATATTTCACATACACAAATTCATTAACCATGAAGTACTCAAGTTCTCTTTGAGAGGCTAGCATTAGATCTGGTCTGAGAGACTGCCATATATTTTTGCTCTTTAAAAAATACATCTTTCAGGATAATAACCTAAAAATCTCTCCTGATATCTCTTACACATTTTATTTATCAGTAAGGTTCACGATAAAACTGTACGTCCCAATATATAGTTAGTAAGTAAGTAAGTAGGTAAAGGTATCCCTGTAACAGGCCGTGGAGGTCCATAAGGTTGTGTGATGTTGAGGTTCCACATTTTCTAGACAATCAGCTCATAGATGGCAGTATGGTTGTCAGTCTTACATGCTGGCCGTGCTTTACCCCCTAGAATATTTCAAGAATATTCCTTGTACTCATTTCTGTTAGAGGCTGAGTCAACCCTAGGGCCATAGTGCGGGTGGAAGTATTAGGTAAATTGAAAAAATCCACCTCATCAGGATTTGATCCCATGACATTCTGGCTTGTAGCATAGTGCCTCAACCAACTATGTTATCGCATGCCCCTGTCCCAATATATATATATTTTCTTTTTAGATATACGTTAAGGTATAGCATAGTGATGTGAGCTGGGAGAGTGTAGTTGGTATAGCCACTAGCTACGGGCTGGATGACCAAGGGGTTAGAGTTCAAGTCCTGGTAGAGTCAAGTATTTTCTCTTCTCCACGTTATCCAGACCAGCTCTGGAGCCCAGCCAACCTCCTATCAAATGGATACTGGGGGCTCTTTCCCCAGGGGTAAAGCGACTGCGGTGTGAAGCAACTCCAACTCACCTCCAACTAGTGCCGAGGTTAAGAAAATGTGTATCTGTACACCCACTCCCCCATATGCCTTCATGGTGTAGTGCTTAATTAGTTAAGCACAGGGACAACTTTACATTTTATTGCATAGTGATTAGTTTTGCAATGATTATTTCAGAACAATATCGTATACAATATTTATATCAGTTAGGTAACAGTGAGTAGAACAAATTTTTCCAGCTGCAAAATTTTTGCTAGTAATAAATGAACATAAAGGACAGTGATGTATTTAAAATTGTAAAGACTACATTTTAGAAATATTTGTACTTCAGATTGGATCATATGTTTACATGCTTGCTTACATAACGTGTAATCAAAGTTTGTTACTTATTGTGGAACATTCACACTGAAAAGAATGTGTTGGTCTCAGCCCTCTCACCATATTCCCAGTGTCTCCTTCATGTTGAACGATTTATATTTTTAAAATGTTTTCAGGTGTCTTAAAAACCCCTGCTCTTAATGACAAGAAACCTGGAAAGGATGCCTTGCCTTTAACGATTATCTGTGACAATATACGGGATCCTGGCAACTTGGGCAGTATTCTCAGAGGAGCTGCAGGGGTGGGCTGTCATAAAGTGATCCTTACAAAAGGTTTGTTTATAGATATGGTAAAGGTAAAAGGTAAAGCCATCCCATAACAGACCATGGAGGCCCATAAGCTTGTGAGACGTTGAGACTCCCACATTTTCTAGACACCCGATTCACAGATGGTGGTAAGGTTGTGAGCCTTAGGTGTTGGCCGTCCTTTATGTCCCGGAAGATTCCTGGCACTCATTTCTGTTAGAGGATGAGTCAGCCTCATGGCCTCAGTGCGGCTGGAAGGATTAGGTCAATTGAAAAAACCAGTGACATCATTGGTAATTGAACCCAACTTTGCTACCTCATGCCCCTTACAGATATGGTTAGTGACATTATTTGGGGTACAGAAACCCATTGAAAACAGAATGGATTCAGTTATGTAAGTAACAAGAAAACTAGCTCTGGAAAGATACAGTTTTAGAAATTTCATCTTAGGAAAACAGGATATGCTAATATGTCCTGGATTGAATTTGAGGATAGGCTCCAATGACAGTACAATTTGTAACGGGTCAAGGTACATCATGACCGACTTGCTAAGTTAACAAATGTTGTTGGTAAGAAATTTTAGTCTTGGCCAAAGTGTGTAGACAGTTGAAACCTATGCATAATATTAATAGCCATTTCCTGGCATGCTTGGGAAAAATATGTGCCGCTGCTAGGATACAGGGTGAACATAAACAGTCATTTGCTGCTGTTAGGACATGAAGAAAGACTGACATTGCATTCTGTCATTTATGCACAATAGGTCATTGAAAGTCATGGTACATGGGCCTATGTGACCCACCCCCTTATCCATGTCCTGCCATTGCTAGGCAGGAGAGGAGGGAGACAGTAGTATCCGCAAATAAAAGGGATTGGAAAGAATACAGGAGAAATGAAGGAAGGAGATAGAAGTAGGAAAGAGATAAATGAATGAAAGAATAAATGTTTTAATGTGGGGAGAGAGGAGAGAAAGAAGGAAGGAGGTAATGAATGATAGTAGGATTCAAAGTAAGAGGGATTGGAAGACAACAAGAGAGAAAAGATGGAAGGAAATAAAGATAAAAGAAGGATAAAGTAAATAAAACAATTATTTTTCACATAATCATTGATGGGTAATAGAAAATTCTATGTGCAGTCATGAAAATTTATAGTGCCATGGTGATGATAACATCCATAATTGTTCAGGCCCACCCAGAAGCATAAACAACCCAAGTGGAGCATAATTTCATATGTCATCACTGATTTTGAAGCCTACAATGAATATCTTTGATTTAAACAAGAAACCCATGATTTTGTAAATTGTTTGTACGTATAATGGTTGTATATGATACTTTATTTTATTCATGATCCTTGACAGGAATAATTTAAAATTTTCCTAATGCCATTTGTATCCCTTACTGCACCCTGCACCCCAAATCACCACTGAAGAGATCTCTTTGTCCTCCATAGTTTTACACGTATTCCCAGCTGTGTCACTGTCATCACGCTTGACCTGTTCATTATCATCACTCAGTGCATCAGTTGGAGTATCATGGTCCACAGAATTTTCACTGTTCCTGTCTGAATCCATTTAACTTTGTTCTGAATTGCAAATGTGTGGAGGTTTCTGCCATCATTGCTCTGATGTCACAGCTTATGTCTTCTACATCTAGTGAACACTGTGGTGGTAACTTGCAACTAAGTATGTTGTTAGCAGCCTCCATAGTCTAGAGGTAACGTTCCCACCTCATGACTCGTAGTACGCGGGTTCAAATACCCGGCGGAGGTCTTCGAATTTTTAAGGGCGGAAAAATTCAGGGAACAAGTCCTCCGGGAGGGACTTTAAGCCGTGGGTCCCGTGTCATAGCTTTACGGCACGTAAAAGAACCTCATATCTCCAAAGGAGGTCACTGAGCCAAATTGCGGACGTTTCCCGCCCAACAGCAGTCACTAATACCTCCAGTAGATGGGGGAAGCATTATAGATACTTCTCAGCCAGTAGAGCCGGTCTCACTGGCTGGGCGGGACTGATGGTAAGCACCAATACCGGTAGGATATAGGGACTGGTAGAAATCATAGAGGGAAGCACAATGGACCACTATGGGTCTAAGTGCATGGGTAAACCCACCCTCTCAAATAACTAACTAAGTATGTTGTTTATTCTACCTTAACACAGTCTTTCATTAAATATGTCAAAGCAAATATTCCAAATAAAAGTTCAGTCTCTCATTGGAATGAATAACATATTAGCTGTGTCCTAGAAGGTTGTTTGTATGTTATGACAGCACAGAACAGAACTGCTTAACAGATGCAGAATTGGAGAATCACTCAGATCCAGTTGTATCCATCACCTGTATGGAAACCAAGAAATAACAATGGAACGTCTGATATTTCCTTAGTTTAAAGTGCTTGGTGAAAAATTATAAATAACTTCATGAGAATGAGAGTTTTTGGATGTTTAATTTCCTATATCATGATTAGTTATTCTGTAAAACAGAAAAACAAATCAGATTTTCATCTTTCAGTGTATACCAAACACTTTACAACATGTTGGGTTTGATGTTTTCATGGCACTGGCTGTGAAGAATTCTCTGTTCTGGGATATAACACTGTGTAGTCTGGTGAAACTCAGCCAAAGTTTCTGCGTACTGCCTGCTTCTTGCTGATTTCTTGCATGGCTTACTTTTTGATCTTGAAGATGGAGACAATGTGTTCTTCCTAAACATTGGTTTGATTTTCACTGGGTTACATGGCATTACATCTCACAAGATTGAGCCCTTCAAATTACAACATATTGTAACGTGTTTTGCCACTGAAGACACCTTTCGGATTGTTAATTGGTTTATTCAACAACCTACAAATCATAACTACAATTAATTATAACACAGTTGCAGGTTTACACAATTTATAAACCCTACACAATAATCTGTTCACTCTATCACTCACTTATTCACAGTACAGTACGGGAGCTCTGCCAGTGTCACTGTATTATACACTCCCAATACCTTCTCACACTGTCGCCTCTAATCACATGTTTCGGTCTTCTTCACATTCACAATTCACTTGCTACAACTGAACTTGGCGACTGCTACAATTCACCTCGTAACTCAATACTCACTACTCTAGTAACTCTGGTTACACTGATGACTACTCCTCGTTATGTAGCTTCCGCACTGACATCACAGAAAACAGTTACATGATAGCTACCACTGTTGCGTCACGTCATGTTTACCAATTGCCAAGCAACAGTCTCTGCACAGAGTCGCCTGTTGCCACGTAGTAACCGCTGTGTCCCCTATTACGTCACTGCGGGGGAGGGTTGTTTACTGAGCATTGCGTAATAATGGAAGGAGTGGGGGTATGTGATGTCAGTCGCGAGACTGCAGAGTTCACGTGACCCCTACTTCCTGTTGCGCCATCCATGTCACAATATTTTAAATATTCATGCATGGGATGCTCAAAATTCTGTTCTTATGTTGTGTTTGTGCCTCTTGTACGCTTTCATTGCCTGGTTCTAAGGCACACAAAGGAGTTGCCTGATAATGGATATAACTTTCAGGTTGTGTTGATCTGTGGGAGCCAAAGGTATTGAGAACTGGGGCAGGAGCACATTTTCGAACTGCAATTGTGAGTGATGTAGAATGGGATGAGTTGGAGACACATGTGGATGATGAAGGTAGCGTGTTTCTTGCTGATAACAATGCATATCTGTCTCAAGACATACAAGAAGGTGAAGATGGTGATGTTGACAGTAGTGATGAAGATGAAGGGAATAGGATCAGATGTAGTCCAGAAATATCAGAGCCTTTGGAAGTGTACAGAAATAGGTTAAGCAATATTCCTGTTGTACCATATTTTGCTGTTGACTATGTAAATCAGAGTTCGGTCATATTGGTAATTGGAGGAGAAACTGAAGGATTAAGCATCAATGCGTTCAAATTGGCTCATGATAGATATGGTGTTAGGTTGAATGTTCCATTGAGTAATAACATTGAAAGTCTTAATTCTGGTACAGCCTTAGGCATTATAACATTTGAAATTAAAAGACAGTTCCTCACAAAACTTCAGCATAAATTTGTGGATGGTATTAATGAAAAGATGGAAAAAATTCATGTACCCAGTGTGTAATGAAGGCTTATGTCACCAAAATGGTTAACTATATCTGTAGTGTGTAAAAATAAAAGAAGATTTGTCTTTATTTTCTGGATGCAGACTTTCCCACATTGAACCTTGAATTCCTGAAGTCCAGACTAGTCATATCCAAAACTTGGCTAACTCCATGGAGGTGAGTCTTTATTGAGAAGCTGTCAGTTGTACAGCTACTTAAGAATTTCTCAACATTTTATGGAATTCTGAAGTTGATTACCATGTTCACAAGAGTCTGTCCACTTATCCCTCTTCTGAGCCAGATGAATCCTGTTTCTCAAAGATCCATCTTAATATTATCCTTCAATCTATATCTAGGCCTTCTTAATGGAATATTTCCTTCTGGCTTACCCACCAAAACTGTGTATGCATTCCTCTTCTTCCTCTCCCCAAATGTTATATGCCCTTCCCATCTCATTCTCCTTCATTTGCTCATTCTAATTATATTTAGCAAAGAGTGAAAGTTATGAAGCTCCTCATTTTGCAGTTTTCCCCAACCTCCTATTATTTCATTAATCTTCAGTCCAAATATTCTTCTCAACACACTGTTCTCAAATAGTTTTAGTCCATGTTCTTCGCTTTATGTCAGAGACCAAGTTTTATACCCATACAAAGCGACAGGCAAAATAATAGTTTTGTATATGCTAATTTTTATGTTTTTAGACAGTATGTGAGGAGACAAATGGTTTTGGACTGCTCAAAAATATGTGCTCATAAAGTTAGAACAAATTATGTATGTTGCTCTTTCCCCCATCTCCTCTTCCTTTGTTGTTTCCACTTTTATGCAGATCATCAAGCAAAGTTAACTCTAATATTAACTTGTTCTTTTCTATATCCATACATCAACTGGCTAAGACAAGGCAGGTGCAGACAGGCACAAGGAATTCATTTGCATGGATGATAGGAATTGAATGTCTTTTAGGGTTATTTGTTGGAAATTAACTGACTAGTAAACTCCTCATTATCCAGCATGTATGGGAAATGGAGTGTCCTGATTATGTGAATCTGCTGCTTGCATGGAAAAATTCTTAAGAAACCTGACACAGAGTCAAAATAACACATGTTCACATTAGTTCCTATGTGGAGGTCTTCCTAGGACACAAAGCAGATTGATGGTTGAAAGATTTTAAATACAAGGTGGCACATGAAATGATCCAGTATTTGATTTAGTATTAATTATTCTACCCTCCAATGAACGATGTTTTGTAACATTGTAACGCAGTAGATCACGGAGATTAGTTCTCACTCTTCCCGAACGCGCTGTTCCTGTGTTGTGGTCACATAGAGGTGGTTTCATGCCCATTTTCAGACGCAATGAACGCCTTCATTCAAAACAGTCCATAAACTTTATCACCAGTTTACTAATGATGGTTCATTGTTGGAGAGGAAATATCACAGGCCTAATCTTTCAGGCCTGCAACGACATATGCTGTCACATAATCAACAGTATCACAGTTCACGTTGAAGAAGTTGCCGGATGTAAAGGTGGTCATATTGAATACTTGATTCACAGGGGATAAATCTCCATACAATGGTCTTTTTGTATGTTAGTTTCTAATTGTAATGGAAACAAAGATTTTATTAATAAATCAAATACCGGATTATTTCATGCGCCACCCTGTACATATATTGTAACACAGTCACAAATTCAGTTGGTCTCTGCCGTAATGGTACCTGCATGAAGAAGGATAGTGGGTAGCATTAGCAGTGGCATCTGGGAGAGCTACTGTGTTGTGGATGAACATATGCACATCACAAATTTGTTTCTGAACAGCTGTATAAAAGTGATGTAAGAGTTTCTTTGAAATATTTGCCAGTGTGATGAGAATTCCAGATGCTTGGATGCTGGATAACCAGGATTTTAATATATATCAGTCCTGGGAATTTTTATAATTCTTGTATCGGGAATGTATATGAAACTGGAAATGAATAATTCAGTTAGGATAATACAGAAAGGTAGGTTATTGTGGCAGTCAGATGCAAAATTTGTGTTACAGAAATTTGGCAAATGTATATTAATTTATGGTTGTGAACCCAGGATATTGAAGAAGTGCAGATCAGATTCAGCTTGTTGCCTGGTTGGTGCTACTCTCTCAAGCGCTGCTCCTTGTGAGTCTTCTAAATCTGTAAGAATCTGGCTGGTTGAGGCAGAGTACCTCCTAAGAGGGAGCATGTGCCTGGTTCTGAACTGATGGCACCCATCACATACACAGAGGATGCCCTTGCTGCTCAAAGAGAGTTTTCAGAAGGTGGTATGCCCAAAAAGGGATGTGATTTTTTTTACAAGTACTGCGGGAAAAGCAAATAAGGATACATTAGGAGAGAAACAAATGATTACATTGGTTTGGGCATGCAAAAGGAATGGATAAAATAAGGATGTCAGGAACATCATTAGAAGTAGAATTTAGCAGAAATAGGGACAACCCAGAACAAGGTCTGTGCAGGTACTGAAAGACTTTAAGAAGAGAATGAAAAAGCTGATAATTGAAAACGAAGGACTGTGAGCAGAAAGAAGAGATTGGAGACTTTGTTGACCCATATAAATTGGAAATGATGAAATGAGTGAAGATCATACTTCTCCCCAATGTTATACAGTTCTACACCACAATACAATTTGTAGTTTTATCACCCTCGGTTAGGTTGATTTGCTATAACGAGTGCTGCTGCTGTCATATATAGCTTTGATTTTGGGCCTTAGAAAGTTATAATGAAGTCCCACCTAGTCCTTGGCTGTAGCCCCACAGCTGAAGTCTAAGTCTGTGTTGCATTTGAGAGTAATGCAGCACGGATAGGTCTGGACATTGAATACAGCCAATGTGGTGTTGATCAGTAGGAGCCAAAGTTGGGTCTCTTGGTTGTAATGTTGTTTGTTGTCACTGCTGGTGTACAGGAAAGAGCACCAGTGAAAATAGCAGAGGAAGGTCATGGTCTGATCATATGTCACTTTCTTGAAACTTGTCCACCAATTTTTATCCCCCCTAGAGCTCACAGTATTAATCTGCTTCCATATTCCAGTTTTCTTTAAAAGCCAAATGATCAGGTGGCAACATGGAAGATAAGGCTGACCTTGCGGATGCAGAACCACTGTTTGAAGCCACTTGCAAGATCTGAGATGCCCTCATGCTCAGCCAGAAGTCACTGAGAACAAACCATGCTCAATGTCAGTGGAACATCAAGACATCAGATGATTGTTGAAAAATATGGCTTTCACCCTGGAGTCAGCACTGTGCATGGCCTCTTGTTGGCAACAGTATAGAGGATGGGCTTTCTGTGAGCTGCATATCTCTTGGTTTTGCTGTGTAGGACAAGCCTGGTAGATTAAAGGTGAATAACTGTCACAGTGCTATTCTTATTGTGACTTTTGGTAAGCTGAACCTGTGAAGTTTGAAGTGGAGGTGTAATTTGAAGAAGTCTTTGGTTTTGGGTGTTTGTAAAATGGCTGGTGCATGAAGCCAGTCACGTACCTTTCTTTATATTTTGTTATAAAAAAAGTAAAGTTGTCCCCATGCTTTACTAATTAAGCACTATGTCATGAAGATGTATGGGGAAGTGGATGTATAGATCCACATTTTCTTGACCTCAACACTAGTTGGGAGTGGTCAGCTTCACGCTCCAGCCGCTTTATCTTCGAGGAAAGAATCCTCGCTACCCATTTGTAGGAGGTTGGCTGGACCCCAGAACTGGTCTGGACGATTGGAGAAGTGAAAATTCTTGACCCTACGGGCACTCAAACTCTGACCCCTCGGTCGTCCAGCCCATAGCCAGTCGCTATACTGACTATGCTCCCCTGGTTCCCATATTTTGTTATTCATTGTGAAAATAAACTTGGATCTATTACACATAATGATATGCTTTTGTGTTATGTCTACATATATAATTTCATATGTACTTTGAAAACAGTTTCTTTGCTGACAAATAGATTGTCTTTGTCGTGTTAAATTAAACTGAAATATTTTAGGATATGCTTCAGTTATGTTCCAGGTTAGGTACAAAGTTTATCAACGTTTTAAATTTGTGGCAACTTCTCTACGGGAATAAAGCAGTGCTGTTTGTTTAGGAGAAGGGTCTGTTTTCAAGTGATGTATCAACTATAAGTGTTATCTTGAATTCAAATGATAATATATACGCAGACAGAAACATCAGCAACAGGTCTACGTGGTACATCTCACTAAATAAGCTGTACTTGTTCCTTTTTTGTATTTTCGTTTTTAATGGTGTCTTCTTCAGAAGCATATCCTATGTATTAAAGAGCTTCAAAAATACCGTTTACAACTTCGCTGTATCCATTATTAGGTCCAATTTTACAGGTACAGAATAAAAGAACAAAATTTGCTGCAGAACTTATATAGTTCTCCTTACTAAGTCCAAGGAGATATCTGTGTAACTTTCTTTATTTTTTAGGATTTGAAAAGTAATAAATGAACTTATCGTTCAATTCATTCTATTACACATTAAAATATAACTTTTCTTCCTCCAGTCATGCTTCTTTCGTTATAAAAAGTCTGATTCCTGACCATTTGGACTTCACAGTTGGTTGAATGGGATATGAAGTCTAAAAAATAAGGTGTTTCATCAATTATGAATGTAATAATAAAAGCTATATAACTGTAGAAATACACTACTTGGAAATAAAAGTATTGTATGACTGTGGTGGATCTACCCTGCCTGTTCTGATGATGATGATGTCATTAACCTTTTTTTTTTTTTTTCACGGCAGATTGATCGGTGGAGTGCCACAAGAGACACAAGGTTGAGAATCATTATTCTAAGTGAAATAAACGTTATATAGATTTACTAACGATTTCAAGTTTCAAAGTGGACGTACAGGAATGCTTCAGGTTTAAATTTGAAGGTATTAATTCCTCAGATGTCCCTATTTTAAAAATAGTTTACATTTGAAATCTTGCACCTAATCATTAAAGCCATATCAGAATTACTTCAGCAAATAACCTCGCCCCGAACAGGCTGAAAACAAATGTTGAAAGCCAAGCTTAACCTGGGTATTTACTTAACATACCCATT